ATATACACATATATATATATATATATACACATATATATGACATTTGTATGGGAAATTAATAGGCTTATGTTGATTTTAGAGTCGATGGGACTGAAAGAAGACAAGCAGCATCAGTTTGAAAAACCTCAACATTTTAAAAATGAAGATGGAAATGCAGTCATTTCACAGACTGAACAGAATTTCACACAAACACAAGCTGGAAAAACTGGACCCAGAGGATCGTTCACATGCACTCAGTGTGGGAAGAGTTTCAGCCGTACATCAAACCTTAAGAGACATGTGAGATTTCACACTGGAGAGAGGCCTTTTACATGCACTCAGTGTGGGAAGAGTTTCTTTGTCAAACAAGAACTTAATGTGCACATGAGAATTCACACTGGAGAAAGACCGTTCACATGCACTCAGTGTGCATTCAGTTTTAAATCTAAAAGTGTCCTGAAAAAACATCAGCTCTCTCACATTGGAGTGAGATCATTCAGCTGTGATCAGTGTGATAAAACATTTGTTTTCGCGTCATACTTAAAAGAACATCTTAAACTTCATGCTGGTGTAAAGCGTCACTTTTGCACTTTTTGTGGAAAGAGTTTTACACAACCGTACAGTTTACAAGTTCATCAGATTATTCATACTGGTGTGAGACCTCATGTGTGCTTTGACTGTGGCAAGTCCTTTCTTACATCTAGTGACTTAAAAAAACACCAGAGGATTCACACTGGAGAGAAACCATACAAGTGCTCACACTGCGGAAAAAGTTTCGCTGATTCATCAACCTTGAAAACCCATGAGAGAATTCACACTGGAGAAAAGCCGTACCAGTGCTCTTCATGTGGGAGGGATTTCACTCGCTCATTTACTCTAATTAAACATAAGATAAAGCATTGCCCACAGTTGTCTAAGTCACATTCAGATCCATCACTTTCAAGTAAATAATTCAATATTCAGATTAAGCAAAAGTTGGAATTAGTTTAAATAATTTAATCAAAATGTCAAAATATAAGACATAAGTCATTTTTTAAGGGCATAATGGATAAATTTACTTAAGTTTACACGAAGTCAAGGGGTTGCCCATTGTATCCTGCCTAAAAAAGCACCAGATGTTTTTCTATTTATATATCTAAAGTGATTCTTCTCATAATATGGACTCTAAATACACACTAAGAGAAGATCAAATTGCTCAGGAAAAGTGAATCTGTTTTGTGTCTCTGGCAATTCGGCAGTGTTTTTCAGATGCTATCTAGTAGCAGTTAAATATGTGTAAAGATCATACATTGTATGATTATACCTTATATTTTGACAAAACCGTTTGGTATAAATTGCGTTTCTAAGCAGATTTTCCATATGAAGTTATGATAATAATTTGTTAGTGCCACAGATGTTCCTCTAGATATCGATATTTGTTTTAATTTCAACCACTTGATCTGGATGAATCTTGTGATTCATGAAACCAGGCAACTGATTCAATTTGTCTTGTGTTTCAAGACTGATTTTATTTTTATTCAGAGATATCTAAATTGGAAAACTTATACATGTATTGTATTAATAATAATTTTATAATCCAACCAAGATAACCATACAGTGAAAATATATTCCAAATACTATTCAATAGAGTGATTTAATCTAAGAGGGTAATTTGGTCAAATTAGTAGTGAAGTTTGATTATTTGACAAAGGACATTTAGGCAAGGCCATAGTATTAGTTTTTGAAACTAGTGTGTTGCTGTAAAATGAAGAGATGTTTATTTTTTCTTTGAAGGTTTCTTTTGTTTTCATTAATTATGTACAGTAGCAATTATTAATTGAACGCATGTTGAATCACATAATGCACATAGAATATTAAATCTTTTTTTTGCATTTAAAGAAATAGCCTGTACCCTTTTAAATTAAGAGAAATAAAAAGGAACAAATCATATGTGACTTAAAAGTTACTTGTTTACATGAATTCAAGAGGGTTACCCTTACAGAAGAACCACATGTTTAATCACATGCATCATGCCTTGAAATACAATGCTAGTAAAACTAGAACTGCACTAGATGCTTTTCAATTCAAATTTGTTTACAATATGAGAGAAGATGAAATTGTTTATGAAACCTGAATGAAATGAACATGCAGACAAAGAGATTAACTAACTTTAACTGGTCAGTGATTAAGTAAACTTAATTTTTTTTTTGATTCTCCATCTTCTTTTAAAGCAGATTCTGTGTCAGAATAATGTATCAGAATAATTCTGTTTACGTATATGAAGGAAACATTGGCAGTACCAGAGATTTGAGTATAGATGACAGCATTTCTCAGTCAATATCATTTATGAAGAATTGGCTCAAAATCTGCTGACTATGTGAAATCTGACTTCTGTTGCTGTGATCAGATGCCAGCTTTTGTTTTGTGCAGTTGTTGATCTTCCTCTATCTGTTGTCGACTTTGACTGGAAATGTTGAATTAATTGCTGTGCAGTCTGGTCTCTTAGCAAATGATAAAGTCATGTTAAAATATGAGTATCATTCAAATATGATCATCAGGCTTTTAAGGAACGTTTATTTGTTCATCTCTCAATCATCATTGCTTTGTAATGCATTATGATTGTAAAACCAAGCATTTAATTGAACATGAATGAACGTCAAAAGGTATGTTGAAAGAAACGATAAAAAACTTTACTGCACACAGTCAACAAGACAGCAAAACAAGTAAACTGGCTAGAAAACACACACTCGCACACATTTATAAATAACATTATCATAGTAAAAATTTTTGTTGCAACACAATGTATTAGTAGTCCTATTTATTTATTCAAATAAATACAAATAAATTGTATTAGGCTTATTAAACAAAATCAACTTATTTGACAATAACTATGAACAGATCACTGACTAATTCGTTCATTCGTTTTAACTTGTTTAATATTTCTGAAATGGCGAAAAAAAAAGGAAGTAATAGTAAGTAATTTTTTTTATTATGCAATTATGTACATATTAATACAAACATAGAAATATTAAGTCATTTAATGTATATACAGTACGTACACTGTGACGTCATCAGCTCCTCAGCACGTGATTAACTTTAAGCAATGAGACTGCTGGAACTTTGCTTAACTAAGTAATGACCCAACATTCTGGCTTCTTCCACTGGTACCGCCAACATCTGGGCTGTGTTCAGCCCCGACAAAACGGTGCAAAACGTGTTTTAAACGGAAACGGTGGTGTGTTGAACACACTGTTCTGATGAAGCAAGAGTTGCAGCTATGGCAGCTGAGAAGGCCATTCTTTGTGTTCTTTTTGAAGAATTTTCAGAGCCTGATGAAATCGGTATAAATACATGTTTAATACCGCAAAATACGCTCGATGTTACAGTCACTGCCCTTGCCCTCCAGAATAAAAGAGAACATCCCAATCAAATGAAGGGATTTGTGGAAACTGTGGTTCTTAATATTGTGATCCAACATTTGCCTCGCATTTCAGCATGAAAAGACAAACATTTCAGGTGAAGGATAATCCACTTCTTACCTCCGAGACTGTGTTATGATCTATATGGCCTTATTATTTTTATTGTGAGTATTAGGCTTATCATTATTGCTGATCACTGTTGTTGTGCTATGATATTGTAATATGGAAACCGTAGCAAAACGTTGCGCACCGGTTTGAGCTTGAACTTGCCCCTGCTCTAACGAGGTAAGCTTTTTAAATTTCTTTTTCATTTTTTAAACTCACACTAGACTGAGATCATATTGTTGTGATCAGTGTGATAAAACATTTATTGTGGCATCAAACTTAAATGCACACATTAAAGTTCATAGTGGTGTGAAGCCTCGCTTTTGCGGAAATATTTTCAAGACTACAAAATTTAAAAGAGCATCAGAGTATTCATACTGGTGTGAAACATTTTACATGCAATGATGGTGGGAAAGACTTAAAAACACACCAGAGTATCTATACTAGAGAGAAACCTTACAAGTGCTCACATAACATAATCTCCAGGTTCATAAAATGAAGTTGCCTAAGTGAAGAAATTTCTTGTTCAGATTCATGATTTAGTAAATAGTTTTATACTGATTGTAGGCTAGCCTACTTTAGTTTGCATAGATTTAAAGGGCTAACATTGTATTGAACGTTGCTTCATTCCTTCATGTCAAATGTTTTTATTTTTTTAAATAAAAGTGATTCTCTTTGTTGTTTCATATATTGTGTCTGCTTTCCCCTTTATTCAGTTAACGCCAAAAAAAGTCATAGAATTGTTTCTAATGACTATTTGATCAAAACATTTAAACCTGGAGTGATTGTAAGTGTGTATAGTTGCATAGATCTTCCTCTAGATGTCGCTGTTTGTTTTAATTTCAACCACGTGTTTGTGATTCTATCTCATGAAACGACTCTAAATCTGCTGTTTATCAGGGTGAGTACATTTATTTCATTATTTATAGGCAAATATGTAAATCTGACCAATTAAACATGCATTGAGCTCGACTTGTGTCCGATTCCCAAATAAATGACTCTTACGAGTCGGTTCACTGTAGTGAATCAAATTCACTTATAAACCAGTCGGAGCCTTTACAGGATTAATTCGAATCAGAAATTGAAGCCTGCACTGGTACTTTAGTCATGTCCGACTTGAAATGAAACATATGTTGTACTGTACATATAGTGAAGCTACACGCGTAGTTTATAGATTATTTGAGTATTGAGGCATTTTATCTAATGGATATAAACAACGGGTGTAGTTATTATTGTACATAATGTACATTATTTTTCTAAATGTGCTTTTAACCTTTTAATCTATAGTCACACAGAAATTCCAGAAAACATGATTTTCTTTCTTTTCTTTTTCTTTGAATCTTGATGTCTGTAATTTGCGAACCATTCCTTTGTCTTTGCTTAGCACATATTCACACGTTTGATGTGTGATTGCAGCAAACGGTCCTAATCAATATGCTTTCAACTTGTGTGGGAACTGAAAAAAGCTTTAACTCAAGAGTAATTGTGAGCGTTTGAGCATCTGCTAAATGAGCTTCACAGCTGTTCATGAGAGTTTAAATGCTGGAGAATATTCCCATCTTTCCACAGCTGAAGAAGAAGCAAGCAGGAGGAATTACTCCAGGAGAAACTACTGACATACTGTTGGAAAGATGGAGTTTGAGGAAGAACCCTGCAGAATGAGAGATGAAGATACAGAGGAACAAACAGGTTGGTGTTCTCCTTCATTCTCTTTCACGACTGATGAGGAACATTGAGATGAAAACTGTCATAAAACTAGATACTAGTGAACTCAGTAGCCTAATAAGAGAATATTTGCTAAATTGAGACTTAATTAATTAAATTTTCTTTCACATTTGTTATTCTTTAATTGTATAGCCTATTGGTAATTTACTTTATGTTGATTTTAGACTCAATGGAAGTGAATAAGGACAAGCAGCATCGGTTTAAAAAACCTTATGACACAGATGAAGATGGAAAAGCTATCATTTCACAAACCGAAAAAAAACAAGCTGAGAAAACTGGAGTCAAAGGATCTTTCGCCTGCACAGAGTGTGGAAAGAGTTACACACGTAAACCAGAACTTAACAGACACATGAGAGTTCACACTGGAGAGAGGCCTTATGCATGCACTCAGTGCGGGAAGAGTTTTGCACACAGATCAAAACTTAACAGACACATGAAAATTCACACTGGAGAAAAACCCTTCACATGCACTCAGTGTGGAAAGAGTTTTACTCTAAAAGAAACCTTAGAAAAACACACAAGAGTTCACACTGGAGAAAAACCATTCACATGCACTCAATGTGGAAAGAGTTTCACATCCAAAAGCTTTCTCCAAATCCATCTGTCTTCTCATGCTGGACTGAAGTCGTTTTTCTGTGATCAGTGTGATAAATCATTTGTTTCTCCATCAAGTTTAAGAACACACCTTAAACTTCATACTGGTGTGAAGCCTTACTTTTGCACTTTTTGTGGAAAGAGTTTTTCACGACAGCAAACTTTAAAAGAACACGAGAGTATTCATACTGGTGTGAGACCTCATTTGTGCTTTGACTGTGGAAAGACCTTTGTTAAACCCAACCTCTTAAAACAACACCAGAGGACTCACACTGGAGAAAAACCTTACAAGTGCTCACACTGTGGAAAGAGTTTTAATTACTCGTCATATTTAAAAAAGCATGAGATGATTCACACTGGAGAGAAGCCACACCAGTGCTCTTCATGCGGGAGGAGTTTTGCCCGACTCTGCTCTACAGGTTCATATGAAAAAGCATGGCCCAAAGTTGTCTAAATGAGCCAGTCTGGGAGATTGCTGGGAGACAAGTTTGCATTCATATCCGTGACATTCAAATAAATAAATTGATGTTAGGGTTAAAGCGATGTTTATTTTTATGTTGAAGAGTTAAATGAATCGCATTAATTGTGCATATGAGCTTTTGTGAAACTAGCAACAATAATCCATAAAATCATCATCCATATCACAAACATCTTTTTTTATAACTTTAGAAAGCATATTAAAAAGCCGTTCTTGGATTGAAATCACTAGGACAATCTGGGAATGTTCATGATGTTTTATGCTGTTTAAAACTCAATCTGTAAAAAGTCTGGATGAAAATATTTCAAAATTGGTAAATTTGGTCATGGCATATTTTATGATTGAATGGTGTTTTGTAATGATATTTTCTGACCTCTTAAATGTTGCATGTAGTGCAGTAATTGCACATTTTGAAACTATGAGAAATAAAGAATAAAACTAATTGTATGACTCATTTATTTAATGTACTTTAGTTTGTGGGAAATCAAAATGTTTAACAATTCAACCTTGCTATTACTCACCAAGTAAGAATAATAAAAAAAATACAGATGGTTTCTTTTTGTATTTAAATAATTTGAAGGAAAAAAAATAGCTTTGAAACCTGAATCAAATGTGTGGTCTGCGTTATGGCAACTCAGTGAAATACCTGCTATCCTGGTAACATATGAACTAATGTTTATGATCAATCACTGCAAGATTTTGTAGTCTCGAGCCTCAGAATAAATTGCATGCGGTTTGGCAGTTCAACATATTTATCTCTAGATGGCGCTATGTGTTTTTAACAGCGCTTCGAGCAGTGTCCGATTCATTCAATAGTATTTTAGTGAATGAAACAATCAGTCGTGGCAATTACTGAAATAATCTGACTCTCATATTAAATCCTAATCTATGGTTACATATTGATTAGTTGTTTGTGTACGCAACCATGTGTAATGATTATGAGTTGTGTTGAGAGATACAACAAATAAGTTAAATAGCTTTAAAAGTGCTGGAAATATGAAGCAAATTTCTTAAAGAATATAAAGAAATAAGCTTGATAAAAGTGCTTTTATAAAGCTTATTTTATATCTTACTTTATATCTTATTTTATCTTACTTTATTTTATAAAGCAACAAGATTATTGTTGCTAGTTTCACAAAAGCTCATATGCACAATTAATGCGATTCATTTAACTCTTCAACATAAAAATAAACATCGCTTTAACCTTAACACCAATTTATTTAAAAGCACTCATTTAATGTTTGTCATCATTATTTAGAGCCTAAATTATGTTCTGTTGAAAGTAAGTAATCTAGTAATCCTGAAGACCTTTATTAGGCCTAAGTGGTTCAGGTGTGTTTAATTTGGGTTAATATTAAACTGATTAGGACAGTGGCCCTTTAGGAGCAGGAAAATCATGAATTGTTAATGGCTATTTGAGCGAAACACTTAAAGCTGGATGATTGAGAGTGTGATTTCCCTGGTAATTAGTTACTTTTATAATGATGTAACTCAGTTACTATTTGTGAGAAGTAACTAGTAACTATAACTAATTACTTCTTTAAAGTAACATGCCCAACACTGGTGGTGGGTCAGTGATGGTCTGGGGAGGCATATCCATGGAGGGACGCACAGACCTCTACAGGCTAGACAATGGCAGCCTGACTGCCATTAGGTATCGGGATGAAATGCTTGGACCCATATCAGACCCCACGCTGGTGCAGTGTTTCCTGGGTTCCTCCTGGTGCACGACAATGCCTGGCCTCATGTGGCGAGAGTATGCAGGCAGTTCCTGGAGGATGAAGGAAATTGATACCATTGAATGGCCACATGAGGCCAGGCATTGTCGTGCACCAGGAGGAACCCAGGAAACACTGCACCAGCATACACTCTTAAAAATAAAGGTGCTTCAAAAGATTCTTCAAGCGATGCCATAGAAGAACCATTTTTGGTTCCACAAAACCATTCAGTCAAAGGTTCTTTAAAGACCCATCTCTTTCTTACCTTTTTGTAATCTGAAGAACCTTATTTCGCCACAAAGATCCGGACATTATGTTTCGGTCCATCCGACGCCGCCAGGTTGCACCTCAGACTGTCCAGGAGCTCAGTGGTGCCCTGGTCCAGATCTGGGAGGAAATACCCCAGGACACCATCCGTCGTCTCAGTAGGAGCATGCCCCGACGTTGTCAGGCATGCATAGAAGCACGTGGGGGCCATACAAACTGAGTACCATTCTGAGTTGCTGCAATGAAATTTCAGCAAAATGGGCTAGCCTGCTGCATCATCTTTTTTCACTTTGATTTTTGGGGTGTCTGAATTTAGCCCTCTGTAGGTTGATAATTTTCATTTCCATCAAACGATGTGACATCCTTTCGTTCCTAACACACTGACCAGTTCATATCAGTGTAGATATCCAGCATGATGTTTTTCCTTAGAGAGATCTGATGTGTTTTCAAAGTTTTCTTTTAATTTTTTTTGAGCAGTGTAATATGAATTAGTGTTTTTTTTATGTGTGTGTGTGTTTTCTTGTCGGTTTACTTGTCTTGCTGTCTTGTTGACTGTGTGCAGAAACGTACTTCACTGTTTCTTTTAACAAACCTTATGATGATCACTCATGTTCATTTAAATGCTTAGATTTACACACTGTAAAACTCTGCAAAACATAATGCATTGCAATACAATGATGATTGAGATTAACAAATAAACATTTCCTAAAAGCCTGATGATCATAACTGATACTCATAACATGATTTTACCAATTGATAACAACCAACTTGTCCAGTCAAAGTCAACAACAGATAGAGGAAGATCAACGACTGCACAAAACAAAAGCTGGCATCTGATCACAGCAACAGAATTCGGTTTTCACATAATCACAGCCTAAGGTTTTAATACTCGCAGCAGATTTTGAGCCGATTCTTCATCAATGAAACACTGAGAAATGCTGTCATCTATAGTCAAATCTCTGGTACTGCAAATGTTCACTTCATATTAAAGGGATAGTTCATCCAAAAATTAAAATGCTGTCATTAATTATTCACCCTCATGTCTTCCAAACCCGTAAGACCTCCGTTCATCTTCAGAACACAAATTAAGATATTTTAGAAGAATTCTCAAGGTCCAGAAATGTAGCAAGGACATCTGTAAAATAATCCATGTGACATCAGTGGTTCAACTGTAATTTTACGAAGCTACGAGATTACTTTTTGTACACAAGGAAAACAAAAATAACGACTTTATTCAACAATTCGTCTCCTCCGCGTCACCCTATAGCCCCATTTTGGAGAGTATCCACTGAATGTAAACAACGTATGCTGTTCTGTGTCTGTGTCCCCGTTACATTTCTGGACCTTGATCGTGGTAATTACTTTTAAAATTGCTGTCTATGGGCGGGTCAGAGAGCTCTCAGAATTCATCTAAAATATCTTAATTTGTGTTCCGAAGATGAACGGAGGTCTTACGGGTTTGGAACGACATGAGGGTGAGTAATTAATGACAGCAGTGAACTATCCCTTTAAGTATACAGAATTATTCTGATGATGAGACACAGAATCTGCTTCAAAAGAAAAAAATATATATACAGGCCCGGTTTCACAGACGGGGCTTAGCTTAAGCCTGGACTAGGCCTTAGTTAAATTAAGATATTTAAGCAGCTTTTATAAAAATGCCTTAGAAGAAAACGTTACATGTGTGCATCTTCAGACAGAACAATGGAACTGACATTTTTGAAGATATGTCAGAGCAAGATAGTTTCATTTGAGACAGCTCAAACATGCATTTTAATCTGGGACTAGCCTTGAGCCATGTCTGTGAAACCGGGGGTAAGTTTACTTAATCACTGACCAGTAAAAGTCAGTTCACCATTTAGCTGCTTTGTCACGGACACTGCATGTTCATTTCATTCAGGTTTCATAACCAGTTTAATCGTCTCTCATATTGTAATCAAATTTGAACTGGAAAAACGTCTAGTGCAGATTTAGTTTTATTAGTATTGTATTTCAAACAGTAGAGTAAGATGCATGTGATTAAACATGTAATTACATGTGGTTCTTCTGTAAGAGTAACCCCTTGATTTCATGTAAACTAGTAAGTTTTAAGTCACATATGTTTTGTTCCTTTTTATGTCTCTTAGCATAAAAATGTACAGTCTATTTTATTAAATGCAAAAAAAAAAGGATATTCTATGTTCAAAATGTGATTCTACATGCTTTCAATGCATAATTTCTATTTGTGCTAGTGTGCACAAAATAATGAAAACAAATGAACTCCTCAAAGAAACAAAAAACAACAATAACGAGACATCTCTTTATTTTACAGCAACACTAGTTTCAAAAACGAATACTATGGCCTTGCCAAAATGTCCTTTGTCAAATATTCAAACTTTACTAATTTTAGCAAATGACCCTCTAGAATAAATCACTCTATTGAAACAAATCCCAGCTATTTTTATACAGTATGTTTGGAATATAATTCACTGTATTACTTCTGAACTTATGTTTAACAGTTTCAAAAAGAGTAGCCTATGCAAATGTGCAAATTGATCTGTAATATTTTGGTGGTTTTTGTGTCTGAGAGAGAAAAGAGTTTGTGTAATTTCAAAGTAGTCATTGAATGTAATATTGTTCCAAAGCAATGATCCTCAGTTTAGTTACATAGACCGCTGTTGATGACTGTGTGAAGAGTTTTGAAAAAGTGACTAGTATTGAGAAATGGGTTCTCGTGGGAAAAAACAAAAACATCTTGGATATATTGGTTGGATTATAAAAGTATTATTAATACAATGCATGTATAAGTGGTCCGATTTAGATTTCTCCCAATAAAAATAAAATCACAGTTCACATCATTTGACTCGTTTCATGAATCACGAACCAGCTGGCTGAAATTAAAATAGCAACATCGAGGAACATCTGTGGCACTGACAAATTATTGTCATAACTTCATATGGAAAATCTGCTTAAAAACACGACAGTTGAACTTTTATTACAATTTTACCAAACTGTCTGTCAAAATATAAGGTATAACCATGTGTAATATTAAAACTTCTATTTTAACTGCTACTAGATAGCATCTGTCAAACACTGCTGAATTGCCAGAGACGATTCACTTTTCCTGAGCAATTTGATCTTCTCCCAGTGTGTTTTTAGAGTCCATATGAGAAGAATCACTTTTGAAATATAAATAGAAAAACATCTGGTGCCATTTTTAGGTAAAAGAATGCCCTTAAAATTATTTTTATTTTTTTATTGTTTTGTATTTCTCAAATTTTCAAACTTGGATTAAATTTTTTTTAAAGTGATGGATCTGAATGTGACTTAGACAACTTTGGGCAATGCTTTATCTTATGTTTAATTAGAGTAAATGAGCGAGTGAAATCCTTCCCACATGAAGAGCACTGGTACGGCTTTTCTCCAGTGTGAATTCTCTCATGGGTTTTCAAGGTTGATGAATCAGTGAAACTCTTTCCACAGTGTGAGCACTTGTATGGTTTCTCTCCAGTGTGAATCCTCTGGTGTTTTTTTAAGTCACTAGATGTAAGAAAGGTCTTTCCACAGTCAAAGCACACATGAGGTCTCACACCAGTATGAATAATCTGATGAACTTGTAAACTGTACGGTTGTGTAAAACTCTTTCCACAAAAAGTGCAAAAGTGACGCTTTACACCAGCATGAAGTTTAAGATGTTCTTTTAAGTATGACGCGAAAACAAATGTTTTATCACACTGATCACAGCTGAATGATCTCACTCCAATGTGAGAGAGCTGATGTTTTTTCAGGACACTTTTAGATTTAAAACTGAATGCACACTGAGTGCATGTGAACGGTCTTTCTCCAGTGTGAATTCTCATGTGCACATTAAGTTCTTGTTTGACAAAGAAACTCTTCCCACACTGAGTGCATGTAAAAGGCCTCTCTCCAGTGTGAAATCTCACATGTCTCTTAAGGTTTGATGTACGGCTGAAACTCTTCCCACACTGAGTGCATGTGAACGGTTTTTCTCCAGTGTGAATTCTCATGTGCACATTAAGTTCTCCTTTGACAAAGAAACTCTTTCCACACTGAGTGCATGTATAATGCCTCTCTCGAGTATGATATCTCATGTGTCTCTTAAACTTTGATTTCTGACAGAAACTCTTTCCACACAGAGTGCATGTGAACAGACGTTCTCCAGTGTGAATTCTCATGTGCACATTTAGTTCTTCTTTGTCAAAGAAAACCTTTTCACACTGAGTGCATGTATAAGGCTTCAGTCCAGGGTGAACTTTCATGTGTCTGTTACGGTTTGATTTCTGACTGAAACCTTTTCCACACTCAGTGCATTTATAAGGCCTCTCTCCAGTGTGAGATCTCATGTGTCCATTAAACTCTGATTTCTCACCAAAACTCTTCCCACACTGAGTGCATGTAAAAGGCCTCTCTCCAGTGTGAAATCTCACGTGTCTCTTAAGGTTTGATGTACGGCTGAAACTCTTCCCACACTGAGTGCATGTGAAAGATCCTTTGGCTCCAGTTTTTCCAGCTTGTTTTTGTGTAAAATTTTGTTCAGTCTGTGAAATGACTGCATTTCCATCTTCATTTTTTAAATGATGAGGTTTTTCAAACTGATGCTTGTCTTCCTTCAGTCCCATTGAATCTAAAAATCAACATATTAATTTCCCATACTTAGATTATACAAGGACAGATTAGAAACATAAAATATAAATAAATGAACCTTTAGTACAAATCTAGTTTGTCTACCAGTATCTCTCCCTCTCTCTGACATATATATATATATATATATATATATATATATGTCAGTTTTCATCTAAAGGGTTAGTTCACTCAAAAATGAAAATTAGCCTGTGTTTTACTCACCATCAAAGCATCATTGGTGTATGTGACTTTCTTCTTTCAGACGAACCCAATCCAATTGTCCTGGCCCCTCCAAGCCTTTCAATGGGGGTAAGCGGGTGTTGGTTGTCAACAGTTCAGAAGACGTGAAATAATTCTGTTCAGTCTGTGAAATGACTGCATTTCCATCTTCATTTTTTAAATGATGAGGTTTTTCAAACTGATGCTTGTCTTCCTTCAGTCCCATTGAATCTAAAAATCAACATATTAATTTCCCATACTTAGATTATACAAGGACAGATTAGAAACATAAAATATAAATAAATGAACCTTTAGTACAAATCTAGTTTGTCTACCAGTATCTCTCCCTCTCTCTGACATATATATATATATATATATATATATATATATGTCAGTTTTCATCTAAAGGGTTAGTTCACTCAAAAATGAAAATTAGCCTGTGTTTTACTCACCATCAAAGCATCATTGGTGTATGTGACTTTCTTCTTTCAGACGAACCCAATCCAATTGTCCTGGCCCCTCCAAGCCTTTCAATGGGGGTAAGCGGGTGTTGGTTGTCATAAAATGGTTGTTGTGAAATAAATCGTGCGCATCTGTAATAAAACATCCCTCACACGGCTCCGGGGGTGAATAAAGGCCTCCTGTCTCCTTTCTTTACAAATCCTCATTTTGTGCTTCTAATTCGTGAACGGCGATTTGTTTTGTTCTCTCTCCGCATCGTCACGTATCATGCAACGCCGACATTCCTACATCGTCCGCCGGAAAGCCTTCTGCGTATGACAGATGGCGGAAGTGATAGAGAAGTGTTTATTACGTTTGAAATATGGATATTTTTCTTACGAAAACGCATGGATTTGCTACAGGAGGCCTTTATTCATGCCCCGGAGCCGTGTGAGGGACGTTTTAATACGGATGCGCGTGCTTTATTTCACGTCTTCTGAACTGTTGACAACCAACACCCGCTTACCCCCATTGAAAGACTTGGAGGGGCCTGGACAGTTTTTAATATAACTCCAATTGGATTCATCTGAAAGAAGAAAGTCACATACACCTAGGATGCTTCGAGGGTGTGTAAAACACAGGCTTATTTTAATTTTTGGGTGAACTAACCCTTTAATATTCCTCAGCAGTCATTATAGAGAATGAAGAAAAACACCAACCTGTTTGTTGAATTCTCATGTGCACATTTGGTTCTTCTTTGACAAAGGAACCCATTCCAGACTGAGTGCAAGTATAAGGCTTCTCTCCAGTGTGAGATCTCATGTGCACATTTAGTTCTTCTTTGTCAAAAAAACCCTTTTCACACTGAGTGCATGTATAAGGCTTCTCTCCAGTGTGAACTGTCATGTGTCTGTTACGGTTTGTTTTCTGACTGAAACCCTTTCCACACTGAGTGCACGTATAAGGCTTCTCTCCAGTGTGAACTGTCATGTGTCTATTAAACTTTGATTTCTCACTGAAACTCTTCCCACACTGAGTGCATGTGAAAGATCCAGTTTTTCCAGCTTGTGTTTGTGTAAAATTCTGTTCAGTCTGTGAAATGACTGCATTTCCATCTTCAATTTTAAAATGATGAGGTATTTCAAACTGATGCTGCTGGTCTTCCTTCAGTCCCATTGAATCTAAAAATCAGCATATTAATTATCCATACATCAATTAAACAAGGACAGATTAGAAACATAAAATATAAATAAATTACCACTTAGTACAAATTTAGTTAGTCTACTAATATATATATATATATATATAAGGGCTGTCAATCGATAAAAAATTTCAATCTAATTAATCACATCCCTTTTCTGTGATTAATCGCGATTAATCGCACACTTCATGAAATTAAGCATAGACCATGTATCTTGTTTCAAATGTTTATTTTGTCATCATTTGCTATATCCAGCAAAGTAAACCAAAAGATTGAAGGGTGATTCTCAAAAATCTATATTTTCTGCAAGCTTTTTTCAAGATAAATTTAGATGTCTTTCCAATAAAGGACACTTAGAAACTCCAAAAGCACACCAAAAAACCAAATGATATAAGGAGCCCATATAAGCACATATGAAAGGAAAAAAAAAATCAGAATTTTATAGTATGTGTACAGTGCAACAGCAAAGAGCTTTTTTACATTTTAGAGAAGCCAAGTTGCGATACCGAACAGGACCACATGGACATGCCAAAAAAATAAAAAAAAACTTAACCAGTGGCCTGCTGACTGCATATATCTATTACAGTACACGGATCCATTCAGAATAACTAAACAACAATATACACATGACAAATCAAAACATTATCGTGAATGTGTGTGGAAACAACGTGAATGTACGGAAATGTCTGTGCATCAATACAATGTGCGATCAGTGCGTCAAGAGCACTCATACACGCATTATAATAACGGACTCACACGTGCTTACTGTACTGTACGACTCCTGTACGCCACCGCAATCGTCTTAACCTTGATTGCAGTCTTCATCCATCAAAACTTTACTAGCGAGACTGGTTATCCAGTCGAGAAAACATAGTTTGCATCTCATCTGGCCATACAGCGGTGGGATGTGTT